TTCCTGTGCTGGGACTACTTCTGTCCTGGGACTACTTCTGTCCTTGGGACTACTTCTGTGCTGGGACTACTTCTGTGCTGGGACTACTTCTGTCCTGGGACTACTGCTGTGCTGGGGCTACTTCAAGTTACAAAAAGTAAAGGTCCACAAAGTACTATGTGAGGCAGATGTGAAGAGCGGGAGACTACAAGAGCAGACGAGATCAAGGAGCAGAGAGAGAAAGGAGGGTGTGTACAGTACACAGCCAAAGAAACTTGAGGAACTCCAGCAAAGGCTGTGTGAGCTGTGGTGGGTCCCCGAAGCAAGGGAAAATATATAAACCGCAGCCGGAAGCACTATGCTGAACTTTGGTATTCATCCTCTTGGCACAGGGGCCTCCTTGGATATTTCCAACTAGCGTCAGTGACCGCAAGGTGCCCGCTTTTTCCGCCCCGCGATCGAAAGCATACCTCAAAACCATAGGGTTCATTTACTGTTAAATGCGGTCATACTGATCATTCAAAATATATGAGAATTTTTACAGTACTGTACAGTACACTCTAGGAATTTCTCTAAATCCACTCCGGATCCATATTTGAGGCCAATTCAGAAAGGGCAATTTTGTATTAATTACCCTGTGCCATTAACTTCTATTTACCATGTTATGCTACTAACTCTAAAGATGAAGAAACAGAATTATTTCTAATCTATCTAGAGGCCCTAAAATTTACAAAGGCTGGGTAGGGGAGTCCGAGCGAACTGTAGAATGTTTTCCTCACAGCTAATGGCCCCGCCCATACTGGTCAAACTTATTGTCTAGTCCCATCTCAGCTCTCACAGGGCCTTCAGACACATGACTGCGATCCCGGGAAAGCTGCTGAAGAGTTTTGTCTAACATTTGCCCCAGCCACTGTGCTGACCTAGATCCAGTTGTGATACGCTTCGCAGAGATGAGCTCTCCCAGTGTTGAGACAATGACTTGATGAGCATCATCAGCTAAGAGAACATCTTTGAATTTGTTGAAGCGCACCTGCTTTGTTTGCTCGGATGCTTCAGCACAAATGGCTAGACACTGTCTGAGGCTATTTCTTTCTACCTGGAATTGCTCCCACTCGGCTGTTTCCTCCATCTTGGCTGCCTGCGACATTGCTTCCAGTCTGGCCTTTAGTCTTTCGGCGTGTTTCTCGAGATCTGAAGACGCGGTCAAGAGTTTCTGCCTGTACTCCTGCAGGATGCAGTTGGTGACATATTTGGATGAGCCAGAATTGAAATTGCCAATCGCATCAATCTCCAAGGGTGGGATGGAAGCCGTGGGGGTTTCGGTCAAAATTTTGGGTTGGAGTTTGTCTATGTGCTCAAGGGCGTCCGCGCAGATTCGGAGGCACTGTTGAGTACTATTCCTTTCCTCTTGTATTCGGCTCCACTGCATGCTATCTTCGTGCTCCATCTTGGTTCCCTTTGGAATGAACGAGTCAAGTTTGTTTTCAACGTCCTGGAGATGATCTTCAAGATCAGAGGTTGTGTTTTTTATCATATCTCTATACTCGTTGAGGACGGTAGCAGTAACAGTTGTTCTGCGGCTATAAGCCATATCGTCTGCTTGATTGGGAAGATACGCCTTAGAGAGACATACAAAGTCGCATCCCCGAGTGCAATATTAATTGTAGAATATAATATTTGTATTTGAGTGTTTTGATCATAATTCTCGCCCGGGTTTTTTATCATCCGTTCCATTTCGTAGCTGTAGTGTACATGAAATGTCTAGATGGTAGTCAAGGTCCTCCAGCGGGCACCCAACTCCTTCTAATCCGAAAGAACTAAGTGCATGCCCACAGGGGAAAAACGCCCACAGGGGAGGAGCGCCCACAGGGTAGGAGTGCCCACAGGGTAGGAGTGCCCACAGGGGGAAAAACGCCTACAGGGGAGAAGTTACCACAGGGGGAGAAGCGCCCACAGGGGAAGAGCGCCCACAGGCGATGAGCGCGCCACAGGGTAGGAGTGCCCACAGGGTAGGAGTCGCTCACAGGGGGGAAAACGCCCACAGGGGAGAAGTTACCACAGGGGAGGAGCGCCCACAGGGGAGGAGCGCCCACAGGGGAGGAGCGCCCACAGGGGAGGAGCGCCCACAGGGGAGGAGCGCCCACAGGGGAGGGTGGGTGGGAAAGTTAACTTTTAGAAGTTGACCTTTAAAAGTTAGCTTTTAAATCCATGGGGTATAAGCTGATGGGGAGCTGTTTATGGAGCGACCGCTGACCATGTCTCATAAAACACCTGAATGGAATTGACACTGTCGTCAAAGATGGGTCTGCTGGGGCCAATAGACGAGGAGTGAATTGAACTGAAATCAGCCATGGAATCAACACTGTAGTCGAAGATGGATCCGCTGGGGCCGATATATGAAGAGTGAATTGAACTGGGATCGGCAATGGAATTGACACTGTAATCAAAGGCAGACATTTCGGAGCCGGTCGACGATGGCTGCATTACGACATGAAAGGGAAGCTCGTCAACTTTGTCCGCCGCGGTCCCTTCAACAACTGGTTGCGGGTCAGAACGCTGTTCTTCAGATACGCACTGCTGATTTTGCTTTCTACCTTGACGGGCAGCAAGTTGGATGTTGTGCTGTGGCCGGTAGTTCGACGTGAGACACTGTCTCTGTTAGTGTGGATGCTATTCGAACGAGCAATGGAACTCACAAGCTCTGCGCAATTGCCTAAAAGCATCAATCCTGGAGCGGCTCGAGTCTAAATGATCGTTTTTCTCGTGCAACCAAAGAGATTTGGCTGAAGCGAACTCTTTCCCACACTGAAAACAGTATCTCCCGTCCAGTATGTCTTTGTCAAACCGGTGGCTAAGATCAGCTGTATTTCGGATATGCCGTGGCAGGTTATCGGCAGTCTCAAACTGGTGCTGACATCGTGCAGCAGGGCACTTGTGCAGCTGTGGCCGAGACTCGTGTCGGTCATGTTGCTGATATGGTCGTAGGCGCCGTTTTATATCCCTTAAGCTGCAAATGCGACCGCCGAATGCCTCTTCCAAATAATGGCCTGCTTCTAGAGCGCTGATGATGTCCTCTGCAATAATCAATCGCGCGTATATCAACTCGATGGTTTTGCACAGCTCGCGGCTCTCTCTATGCGAGAGGGTTTCTGGCGGGTTGGCTTGTGAGGTGACGAAGAATTCCAACTCTGTGATAACTGTCAGACACCAAGTCATAAAGAGAGCGATGTTACTTACCCATTCTGCTGGCAAAAATCATCTGTATTTGATGGAAGATGGAGCATGGCATGCTTGCACCCAATTCCCATGGTACGCGCTCCTCACGTGACTACACCGACCCCGACCTCAGCAAAGTGGGGCTGGCTCTATATACCTTCAGTCCCCCGTCTACGTTAACCGCACCATTTTACGGACTCGTAGGCTGCTAGGGACAGTTTCAGGGATCGGATGGATGAGGGCGAATTGAGCAGGCTCGGAGAAACGGCCCCTGCCCTCCACGTTTCCCATTGATGTATGGCTAGCGATGTTTACAAAATTTGACTAACTTCCATCAATTATTGAACTACAACAGAAAATCAAACAAAGGCCGGTCCTGCGCCAGACATCTTCATATACAATCACCACGAACATGGAAGCAGAGGAGATCCGTAGAAACCGGCCTCACGCGGTGGGACCAAAGAATAAATACCAAGATATCCCGGAACCTCCGATTTGCCTTGGACATCTGACCACATCGAACGCTGCGGTATCGAACCCCAATTGTACGGCTATTATTGGTATGAAGCCACGGCGGCGATAATCACGCCATCTACGTCCAATCCCGGTAGGAAGCCGCACCCATCGTTGAGAGAGTAGCTGCGTGGCTGCGGTTCCCTTGGGATACGGCGTCGAGTTCCGCAAAGGGAGGGAGCTGAACGGAACGTGAGCGTTTTGATGCGGGTTGAGAGAATGAGAACGGAACTGTCCTAGATCGTCTCGCCATTTCTTGTTCTCCCAGTTGCCAGTGCATAGCTTCAACGGCCCTCCAGGGGATGGACATCTCCTCTGCAATTTTCGCCCACATTTCCGACTTGAATCTGCTTGCTCTGTCAGTAAGGAGCCGGTTGTCATCAGATATCACGCCGTTTCCACCTTTCATATAATAGGGCCAACCTGGTCTTGTGACCCTCGCTCCACTCACTCCGTCTCTCAAGGTAATTCTGGTAGTGCAGGCGACAGCTGAGTGCACTTCGCCCGGGGAGTTCCTTGCTGATATCTCCCCACGCCATTCCGCGCTGCCGAAGCTCGATGATCAGAACATCTTCTTCTGGGGACCATTTTGGCCTTTTTTTGTCCGAAATTTGGCGTGCTTGGGGGCTATCGCTCTGGACGTCAGGTGCCATTGGTTTGGGTGCTATTGGTTTGTTTTGGGCTAAGTTTTGAATTGTAGGCGCCATAGTGAAAACTGCGGCATTTTATGAGGAGAAAAGGGAAGATCGAGCGAGGGAAACAAAGTGGGAGACGGGCTGGCTTTATATGCCTTCAGCCCACTGGTCTACGCTAATTGTCCTCATTCGAGAGCGGATGGGAAGTGACTATGAAAGACCGCGTCGTCCACACCATTCATCAGTGATGAGCTACGGACAGTTTATTGATCGAGCATGCTCGGAGAAACGGCGCCTACGAACAGAGGGAGGTTCCTCCGCACTTCCCGTTGATGCATGGCGAGCGATGTTTACAAAATTTGACTAAGTTCCGTCAATTATTGAACTACGACAGAAAATCAAACAAGGCAGATCTTGTGACGGATAAAAGGCGAAGTCATGAAGATTCAACGTTAAAACAAGCAGTGTTGCCATCAGGAACAATTACTGACAAAGAAACATGAAAGAGAAACGTGAAGCAGAAAATATCTGTCCCAGTCCACCTCGCGAGAACGTCAACTCGGAGCTAACGTCTCGCCAGACAAACAGCAGAGGGCCTCCCAGATTGGCCGAGACGTAAGAATGCGTTGGGTCCGCCAGGCTTCCGCGATGGATCAAGCGTTGTGAGCCTGGGAACTCTCCCCAAGATCCTCGAAAGAGTCAGTGGGGTTGGCAATTGCTCGTGCCCTGGCGTAATTCTTCACCTTTCCCCTTCCTTTGCTGGTTTTGGCAACCCAATCCTCCACATCAGCCACTGCGTCGGTAGGCGACTGCTTGCGTTCAAGCAGGAACGATAGCAGGATCTCAGCTGGGCTGAATACCTGGTCCGGAACCTTGGCGGCAAACTCATCCGCAAGTCGCTCAATTGTTTCATCATCGAACTCCTTCCCTGTAGTGCGCTGATCCCCATCTGACCGCTTGAAAACCGTGCAGAAAAGACGAGAACTCATTTTGTGATCAGCGAGCTGAAACAAAACCTGTCTATCCACGCGGCCAGGGCGGATGAGTGCGTCATCCAAACGCTCGATGTGATTTGTCGTCATAATCAGCAATCGACCTTCCTGCGAAGACACGCCATCCAGGGCATTAAGAAGCGCGGACAGAGATACATTTCCCTGAGACTTGCTCTTCTGTGAAGGGCCTACCGCGGCCTGGCCAGTGTTTTTCGTCGTTTCACTGTCTTCCGTTCGTGCAGTACTAGCAGCATCGATATCTTCTAAGAGAATGACACAATGCGGGGGAAGCTGGGCAAACAAACTGTTTAGGCGGCTGTCGTCGATGCTCGAAAGATTGAGTACATAGATATCTAGCTCAAAACGCCCGGCGACAGATAAGCTGAAACTGGACTTCCCGGTTCCAGGAGGCCCATACAGCAGGAACCCTCTTCGATAGGGAATCCCGCGCCTTGCATACCAGCCCCGAGCTCGCTCGTCCAGGAAATCCTCGATATCTTTCAACAGGGCCGTTTTCTCGCCCTCATCCATGATGACTGTCGAGATTGGTCTGATGTCTCTTGCCTTCGCTTTCCTCCATTCACCATCATGATGCTCAAAGACTGTAGTCTTTCTCTGGATAAGTTTAAGATATTCAGCTCGGCAATCACTAAGGAGTGCTCTCAGGATTTGCGAAGATCCGCCGATGCAGGAAATGGAGATCTCTTCCTTGGTCTCTTTTGCCACGCACTGGAACCGGAGCAGATGGTTCTTGTACACGAATAAGAATGATCCATTCCAAGGTGAAAAGCGCAAAGGTTTTTTCTTGTACTCATTTGAAAGATCATCAGCATATGCTCTTCTTTGCATGCCGCCGATACTTGCGAGAGAGGAGCGAGCCTTATGGGCGAAGGGCTGGGTGGATACCCAGGCGATGAGCATGTCGTACGCTTCGTTGTAGTAGGAGACGTGGACGGTCGAAGCTGTCGATGGTTAGAAAGAGTTATCATTAGAGGGAAGAGTCACGAACTGAAATAGGTCTCCATCAAGTCCGTCAAGTAACGGACGGCATATCTACCCAAGAACAGGAGCATGCTGCAGAAGCACAGAAGGTGAGCATAGCTGTTCAGGTCACTAGCTAGGAGTTGCTGAATGGACGCAGAGATGCCGGTGAAGCCGGGAAAAAAGACGTCCACAATGGAGATTTGGGATGTGGCAGTGTGGATTGGCAAAGAGCCAGCATTGTTGAATGGGTTCATTCTGGAACAGTGGTGCTAATAAATGGTGCGATTGATACACAATAAGCGTTTTTCAATTGGGATGAAGGTTTTGCAGGGAAATAATTATTCTCTTTTCTCACAATTGCCTCAGGACTTCGGGGGAATCGCACCTCCTTATATGGCAGTCTATCAATACTTCCCGGCAGATATTCTTTGTTGTCTTCCGCCTGTACCACGTGGATACCGGAGGTGGCCGTCGCTCTCCCAATTTAGGGATGCATTAAACTACGCCGTAAAATACATGGTCTTGATCCCGTTGCCGTTGCTGAGGCTTGCCATTTTCTGCTCTGAGCAGCGGATAGTGCAACCATCGAGACCCCTGGTTGGGGTTGACATTCGCCAATGTCCACGTATGACTTTGCGTTGCTGATTGCATCTCGCCAACGTACGGAACGGAGTTTTGCAAGGCCTCGATGCCGATCTTTTGCTCTGTTTGGGGCCCTGGTACAGCTCTGGATGAGTATGTACATCGATAAAAAAAAAGGACATGCAGCCTTGAGACATGGCATGCAAACGTAACCATTGCGTCGTATTTTGACCTGCTGCACCGGCCTTGATCTAGATTTTCTAACTTGGGGCTGGCGGATATCAGAGTAAGTGGGCTGCGCTTTGAAATATGCGGGGTTGTCACATGCTGTTGATGCTATTGGATACACAACAATTTCATTTGTGATAATTGGAGGGCTTGCGAACCTCAAAGGACTGAAAGCCTATTTTCCGGAAACTGGGCTGTGGTGTGATTTGTCAAACTTCCATCGCTTCCCACTTGGTCAAGTTTGACTGGCCGCCACGGCGTGATAGCCGGCGTTTAATGAGCTAAAGTATGTGACTGAACGCCTTTAGCCACCGTAACTTTTTCCCATGTATGTACCGAGAGAGGTAATGATGAGCTTCCAGAAGTGGGCGGCCAATGCCGCTTCCTCCAACTTTAAAGGGGAAGATATCCCCTCCCCCAACAATAAATATCTTCTAGTTGTCTTATACTCATCAGACGTTCGCCAATAGCTAGATTTTACAGAACCTCGGAATGAAAACCATCCGTTGCGAGGACGTCGTCCTAGCCATGGCAGATCAGGCTGAAAGGTTTGGTGCCATGTCCGTCACATTTGCAAAAGCCCCAGACCTTGCGAAGACCCAAGCCGAACAAATCACCCAGTGGACCCAAAAGCTGATCGATGCCGTAACGAAGATTCGACAAGATGCACAGGCTGCCGCAAATGTGTGCCAAGAACGCCTCCAGGTCACAATTCGCGAGCTTAGCACGCGTGGGAATGCAACAAAGAAGAAGATCTTAGAAAACAATAAGCTGGATACATCGCGAACTGTAAAGGCAAACTTCAGGCTAGTGTTTGGGCCGCCAAAACACTCGGAATACTGCAGCAAAACCACGAAATATGCAATGGAATCCAATGCTGTGAGGATTAAAACAGTTCGTGGGCTATGCGAAAGTTATCCCGACGCTGTTATCACCCTATCAACGAGCTATCCTACCAAAGTGTGGACGGAATCAAGCGTGGAAGTATTTGACGGACTAATAAAGTTGTTGAAGAAGGATGCGGAGAAAGAAGTAGGGGTGGGTTGGCCACGCGAGGTTTTGGATATCATGGATACGCTCGAAGAAGAAAGGCCGATGTGTGGCGAGTTTAAGGTTCTTCGTGGTATGTGCTCAAACCATTCTCCCAATATCTTCTTCACTGACAGGTAGTCAGACAAAATCTCTCAGCGTCAAGAGATTAATCTCCTTTCCGCCTCCTTGCCCCGACATAGACAGTTGAGACCGATCGCAAGTGTGTTGGCTACTCTGCAGAGCGAATTCTCACCTACGATGAGTGAGCCAACGTCGTCCCCAGTACGTGGGAATAAGAACTTACCAGCGGGTATAGATCAGCTGCCGAGCCTACAGCAAATAGGATCCACAGCACCAGTCTTCTATCAGCGTATGACAACTACCATTTTTCCCATTTTTAGAAGGCATGGCTAATCAATGGATAGGGCAAGTGCGCGACGGCCCACATAAAAATTCCAATTTTGGACCGCCAACTAGCCCCAGCACTGGACGGGACCAACTTGGCACTTACCATAGTACGGTTTATCCTTCAAAAAGACGCAAGCCTGAAGATCCACAATCGCCATTTCGGGAGAATAGAGGTAAGAAAATGCCTTTCAAAATATTCATGTACCAGAACTAACAATCTACCAATAGAGGTCGGATTTATGTACACAAATGCCCCCGCCGTCGATATATTGCAACTAGTTGAACCATTCAGAACGGCGCTCCAGAACAGTCGACAATGGAAATGGGAAAGAAGCCAAAATATGAACACCACATCGTGCCTGGCGGCATTGTTCCCGAAGGATAACACTCAGGATGTTTCTCTGACTATATGGTGCGGAAATAAGGATGGATACCGTGTCATCACTGCGTTCGGGATGCAACCTGCTCCTTTACCCTAGAGCTTGAAGTAGACGCTGGCAACCCTCACGTATGTGGTATAACCGGCGGGTACTGTGAACGGTTTGTAGTCTGTTGTTGGATGGTCGTGGACTTCATGCGTTGCGTAGTGTTCCGTCTCTTCATTATATATCGACAAATAGCGGCCTTTAAAATATATGGTCCTATCACTGTCGGTCGGCGGAAAATAATGGGCCGGGATATCCTTTTCCTTTTTCCCGGAGAGAGCGTCGTCACCCGTCTAAAGATATATGTGAATTAGATACATAGCGATGAAATTAAGAGCCGTGACAAAACTGTGTAGCTGGACTTACCGCCATAGCCAAGATACTCTAGATGGACCTTGCTTCTCTGTACCAACTGTTAAAGACTACTGCGTATCAGCGATCATAGGGCCAAATGGTAGAGGGGAAGATTCGATCTCTATTCACCTGATATTCGGAGAGGCGCAGATGAAACTGGATGAAATCAGACACAATACAAGCCTTTCTTCGGTTGGGGTCGAAACAGAGTAAGATGGATAAATTTTGATAGTGTTTGATGTTACGTACAAAGAGAATCGTGAAGAATCGTGAGGGGTTCTGAGATTTAAGTGGGGGGTGTGACTTGGTGGGGGTTGGCATTTTGATGGGCCCTGGATATTTGCTCAACCAGATCCAGAAGCATGTAAAAGATAGTTACTGTTTCGATAAGATTGTCCGATATCCAACGTGTTACTCTGTCAGGCATACATGCAGATAATTCTAGAATGGACATCTTATATTGGAAACGCCAGCGTCATATGATCTTGCCTGGTGATCACGAATAGCAACATGTTTAATAAGCCGAAGTTGCACATGGCGGCTTGCATATTTGCTGCATGCCCTTCTACCAAATAATTTCCAGAATTTAGAAATGCTATTATCCGGAGAACGTTCCATTAATGACGGATTTTCAAGCCTATTCAGTCTCAGTTTCTGGGAAATCTGTGACTTTTCTTCTTATTCCAATAAAACTCAAGGGTTAGCCAGCCGCTCCACTAACTGCCAAGCTGACTAGCTGAGTTAGAAAACCAATGACAACCACTGTAGGGCCATCCCGAAATATCCCTGCTCTCATACACTGAATCATACCATTTTCCCATCCTGTCCAAAACCATCATCTTCCCATGTTGACCTCAGACCCAAGCGCCTGACCCATCTCTGCGAACCCGCTGTTCGGCAACATAAATCCACCTGCTAGTCTCTCGTTCAATAATCATGGCTTCGCGTCTAGCAAAATATAATAAGAAAAGAGGCCGTCAAACGTCTACTCCAAAGGACAATAACGAGTTGCTCGCCCAGAAAGGAACAGGACGCATCCCTCGCCGAAAAAGCGTGCGCCTCTCTCGAAGATATCCTTTCTGTGAGCAGGAAACTACACTTCCAACGAGTCATTCACTCGGAAAGACTGTATGATACCCGTCGCCCTATGGGTGCTATGGAAAACTAATGTTGATGGTCAGGCAATACAAGTAAACAATCATAGGAAGCGATCGTGCACACCTGGGAAACCAGCCAGGCGTCTTGAAAAACGACGGTGTACGAACCCTACCAACTCCAGCGAGGACGCAGTCTACGGAATAAAGGATCACAGGAGCATTGATCTCCCTTCGACCCAGACCATCGAACGAGAGGTAAGTTTCTCACCCCTATGATCCTACAACAGCAGCTGATTCAACCTAAGACTCTTCGTGATCCACCAATCTCGTCGCAACAGCGTTCACCTAAGCATAAACGACTACACCCGGAACCTGAGCGTCCATCTGATAACCCCGATCCCCCATCGAAGCGGTCAAGAACCGACAAAAATAGACTTATTGAGCATTGGACGCGCAACGAATTCACGTGGCCTGAAAAGCTTCCGGAACCCAACCCTATGGAACACTTTCTTGCCCGACCAAACACCCCATCTCTTCGCCGGACGAAGTCAAACAGTAGTTTGACCACTGCGACCGAAACGAGTTCGCGAGAGGCGAAGAGTAGACCTTACACTAACAAGAACTATGATACATACCTGGAGACTAAGGGCTGTTTTATGTATGACCATGATGATGGTATTGATCGAGACAGCAAGTCTGCCTGTCGTCAAATACTGGGCGCGAATCCCGAGGTTCCCAAGCGAACTGTGTTTGAACAATGTGCCTTTGAATCTACGTGTCGAAGGCTACAAAAGAAAAACGAAACTGGGGTTATTCGCATCATAGGTGAATTAATCGTTCCGTCAGCAGAGAGTGCAATCGACCTCAGCCATGTCACATTTCCGCATTTGGTTGTTAGTGTGAATGAAGGCTGGGATAGCTCGATTTCTCTAGATGAGGATCAACGATTGCCACCACCTGCACAAACTCCACATCTTCCACAATCTCGACAATTTCGATTATCTCGGCCACAGCCCGATTATGCGGTCGGGTTTCCCCGACAATGCTTCTCTGAAGCTCGACTGGAAAAGCTTGCACCGTTTGTCGGCGAAGTTGGCGATATGTCTTTCTTTATGAGTACTGCATACATGTACTTTCCGTTTATGACAGTTGAAGTGAAGTGCGGAAAGGCGGCACTCGATATAGCAGATCGACAAAATGCGCACAGTATGGCTCTCTCAATAAGAGGAGTTGTCAAGCTCTTCAGGGCCGTGAAGCGTGAAAAGGAGCTACATCGACAGATCCTGGCCTTTTCAATTTCACATGATCACTGTTCTGTGAGAATCTATGGCCACTACCCTATGATCGAGGGAGAGAAGACTACATACTACCGACATGCCATTCACAAGTTCGACTTCACCTCACTTGATGGCAAAGAGAAATGGACATCCTACAAATTCTCTATGAGTGTGTACAATGACTGGGCACCTTCCCATTTTAAAAAAATATGCTCCGCTATTGATGAACTGCCCCAGGTAAATTTTGAGGTGTCGCAGGCGTCACAGATATCACAGCAACCTGAAGTATTACATCAATCGGAGCTGAGTTTCTCAGAATCAACTGGACTTTCGCAAGGTGTCGGAGGCGTTGATATTCAAGGCTCTAGTTTTACATCTGTATTGGAAGAGGCTGATGGTTTGCAGAACGTTGCCACGGGTGCTCCGGTAACCCAGCAGAGCGAAGAGGGCTCTGCTGAAGCATTCAATATGTCCAAGAAGAGACGTACCTTTAGATAGGCAACTTGAGGAGATGGCAGAGTCGGACTTTGCAGCCCGAAAAAGAGTGACAATTTATTGCGTTATCTTGGTGCAGCTACATATTTGCCTTCTTTGCTCAATTAACCCCTCTGTGCTTGGTGATAAAGTAAACGTAAAAATCACAATAGTTCTGCATACCCATCGCAAAACAATCCACATGTCCCAACTCCATTAGCCGGACGAAATGCCAGATACCATGTCTAGCAACAAATTAAATATATAAAAGATTCTGAACTATGCCATTTTACGGCTGCTGGCAATTTGTGAGAGAACGAAGATGGAGGTTTAGATTTATTGCTTCGCGTTGCATTTTCTGACGCGAACTCGTCCTCAAGATTGAGTGGGTAAAGCGTGGACCCTGCTCAGCCTTTCAGTCCAGGCTTGAGATAATCAATATATTCCTTCTCTCTTGATAGATACAACAGTGCCTAAAACCCTTTGCCAGACACCGCTCCTGCAGCACAGCGTGACGTGTTACACGGATAAACTTTGATCCGTGTTTCTGGCGAGATGGCTGGATTCCTATGCCATTTAATTCCTGGTGCCCATTTTGCTTTTTGATATCACTCTTTTTATCCCTCTAATGGCCGATAACAGCTCACCAGATTACAAGACTCTCTTCCTTAGAGCGGAAGCGGAACGAGGGCGGGAAGCAGAGTTGCGAAGGCAGGCAGAAGAGCGGGAAGCATAGGGGAGAGCCAGCCGACAACACTAGAAGAGCTCATCAAAGGTTGTCATGATTCATTCTCCCGGCCTTTGCCGGTTGGAACGCCAACCCGCTCCACGAAGGGGAGTATTCCACCACCCACTGGGAAATACTGCCCAACGAGCCTTCGCCTTTGGTCAAGTTGTCCGGTTCAACTGCAAGAAATTTATGATGCGGTTTCCACTTACCTCCAACCAGCTGGAAAAGATGCACCTCGACTATTCACATCTCTTCTAGAGCTAGAGGGACTTGGTCGGCGGTATTCTAGTCGAAAACTCCAAAGTGAAAAGGATCTGGAGAACTACGAAAGAGCTGCAGCGGAAGACCATGTCCAAGATATCATAACGGATCATTGATTTCCCCACACACTCACTTTTCAAATATTTCAATATAAATATTACTATGGCTACACCACTGCTGCTCTCAATCTAGGCATCTAATCCCATCTAGGAATCCACTGCGAAGAATAGAGTTCATGCGACTTGGCATTGCCGGATCCCTCTATTATACCCAACCAGACAGGGGCGCGAGCTTTGGTTGCACTAGGCTTGTTTGAGGCTTAAGTCCATTGATTACTAATACCTGATTCTTCTTCCCTGGCAGACCACATCCCGCAACACGACGGGCCGGTTTTAATCCTAAATGGGAATAACCCGCCTTCCTCAAAATACGATTCCAATCCCCCTATTTTGTTCGCGCTTATTACCATTCCGTCGCGATCGAATAGAATTAATCTCCACCTCGTTCCTTGCTTAGCGGCGCTACCCGTTCCTACATTCGCGTTCTGCATCACAGCCAAGCCGGGTCAACCCTTTGACCACAATCCTATATATCAGCGTCTGTTCCTAGCGAGCTATCTTCTCTCGCAAGTATGATACATCATAACTTCGTAACAATTCTGACATAAATTAGCATACCAATTTAACTCCCTTACAACTCCTGATTAACCTCGCACCTACCCAACGGTCTTTTATGCCGTCTAAATGGCGGGACTTTCACAAGAAGATCGCAACATTATCAAGAACCATCCTCTAGCCAACCTAGTCGATCCTTTACGAGACGCGCTTCAGGAAGCCGAAAGACAATATGAGTCTGATGGCGCTGATGAGAGCCAGGACCAGCTCTATCGAAATGCGATTTCAAAACTCCTCTCTGCTTTACAGGGAGAGGAAGCGGCGCTCAATATGCGCTCACGAGCAAGCGATGGAAATGTGGCTTCTGATATAGCAAATCTGTTTACGAGCCTTCAGCGGGCCAACTTCGGCTACAACCACTACAGCCGGCTGGTACATCTGGTCATCCAAAGGTTTCCCCCCACTGAATCCCAGAACGTCGAAACCTGGAACTTCAACGTCTGGAACGCCGTCTTTGTTCTTATTGACGCCGTCTCGCGAGGCACTCCCCCTCCTCCTCCTCATCCTACATCATCGATCCAACAAACGCCCTGGCTGCGCAACACTAGCAGTTTCGTCAATTCTACAGAATATCGAAAGCACGTTGACATTGTGCTGAAGGAGGAGCTTGGAGAGATACACGTCGACATCCCTAAATTCTTTGACGCGTACTTTGGAGACATTCCACAACTCACTGCAATTTCACAAGCGGTGTTGAAAGAGTGCGAGAAGGGAGACAGCCCACTTTACCGTGAAGAGGAGGGCTGGAAAGGCTGGCCTGAACTTGCGGCAGAACGAGACGTTCTGAGATGGCTGACTAACATCATCGCTGAGCTTGTACGATTCGCCGAAGCACAAGAACCGTCATGGAAGATCGACCGCAGACCTCTCGCACAGCCAAGCCAGCCACTACAAGGGTCTGTCGCGGAGAGAAAGCTCGATATCGGCTTTGTCGATGATATGACGGCCACAGAGGACTCCAGATGCCGCTGGTCGCAGATCCTTGTGCCAGGGGAGCTGAAGAACGACCCGAAATACGACAGGAAATCTGGAGCATGGTTTGATCTTGGCAGGTACGCCCGAGAGGTCCTTGCTGCGCAGGACACCCGTCGTTTCGTGCTCGGGTTCACTCTCTGCGGGCCATTCCTGCGACTATGGAACTTTGACCGCCTGGGCGGGATCGCGTCGGAGGAATTCAACATCAACCAGGACGGCCTTCAATTTGTGTCTGTTATCCTTGGATTCCTCTTGATGAGCCGGAAGCAACTTGGGTTTGATCCCACCATCGTCGCGACCGGGACCGAACGCTATATCGAGATTGAAAAGAACGGTACGAAGGAACGGCTGATCATCGACGGGATTGTTGGACGAGCACGCTGTGTTGCCGGGCGAGCCACAACCTGCTGGAAGGCATATTGTGAGACAGACAAATCACGGACGCCGCTGGTTGTCAAGGACTCCTGGCAGTATCCGGAACGCACTGAGGAAGGAGAGTTGCTGCGAGAGGCGATGGCGAAGGGGGTCAAGAATGTTGCGAGGTATTATCACCACGAGACCGTTCGCATTGACGACAAGGATGATGATGTCTTAGCTATCCGAAAGGGCCTCAGTATTCCGATTTCGCAAGATGAGAGGGGTGGCTTTAAGGCGACAGTGCGGCGTAGTAGGTCTCAAAGGGGACAAAAGAGCCAGAGCAGCACCGCCGGCCAGAAGCGATCCTCTGACTGCGTGGACACAGCATTTCCTCCTCCCCCCAGTAAACGTTCCCAGTCAAGTTCTCCGTCCAAATTTGCCGGCCGCTCTACCCCATTCAATCGAGTTCACCGCCGCGTCGTTATCCGGGATTATGGGAAACCAATCTATGAGAGTAGCTCGAAGGCCACACTTCTCACTGGACTAGCCGGCTGCATTGAAGGATACATGTCGCTCCATGATGAGGCTGGCCTCATCCAATGTGACGTTTCCCCCCGCAACCTGATGGTGAACGAGGACAAGGACAATCCTTCATGGCCTGCCTTTCTGATCGACCTTGACCTGGCAATCAAGGTACAACGGGATGCGTCTTCCGGCGCACGGGGCAAGACTGGCACCAGGGCGTTCATGGCCATCGGTGTTTTGTACGGCGAAAAGCATTGTTTCATGCATGATCTAGAGTCGTTCTTCTGGGTCCTGTTCTGGATATGCATTCACTATGACGGCCATGGCAAGGGGAGCAGTGTTGAAGAGTTTGAGAAATGGAATTATATGAATACTGGAGAGCTGGCTCGCGCAAAAAAAGGAGTGATAAGTGATGAGGGTGATTTTCTCAGACTTGCTGAAGACTATTTCACGCCCTACTATCAATCATTGATCCCTTGCGTCAACCGGTTGCGGCGCCTTGTCTTTCCAGACGGCGGACGGTGGAAGAAAGAAAATTCCAATCTATCCCGGAACATGGTTGAAACGCTTCAAGATGCGGAAAATAACCCAGACATTGTAAACTAATGCTGATTCAGTGTATATATTGATAGCGTATTGTAGCGTGGCTTGCTTTTTGTTTGTGTTTTGATATAGCATGCATTCGAGTAAGAGTGAGGATGGACATGATTTGTGAGAACCGCAACTCCTTTTATTATACATATATATCTCTATTGTACAAAGCTAGTTTTCTAGGCTCCGTTGACATTCCAACGCCAGTTTCGTGACCCCGCACAACAGTTTATGGAGGGTTGATATGTAGAAAAGCGCTTGGACGAACATCTAACCTTTGATGAACTTGTTGACCTTTAACTCAAGTGGAACCCACAAGAGCTTGTTGGAGAGATCAATCTTGAGGGCATAATGTATCTACTGTTTAATTTTGTAAAATTTCCCCTGGGTGACCATTTCTGCCGCCCGAAACCACTCTGCTAACTCATCCAAATCTCTTTTAGCATCGCTATCAATTGTTGAAAGGAATTCGAATTCCCTTGTATCTTTTGATTCCGTGTCATCTTTATCGGAGGCCATGTTGATGATGATGCAAGATGGGTGGGGAGAACTGTTCCCTTTCTCAAATACTGTCTAATCAACTTATTAATATATGCCTGAAGATGCTAAGCAGAATTATAACTCACGTCTGTAACAAGGGATAGATAAGTTTGTGGCGATAGAACTGGAATAAAAAAAGAAAAAAAATAGAGAGAGAAAAGGCGGGGCATGTGGGACATCTCAAAATGTACTCAGAATACTTCTGTGCTTTTACTCCTCAGTATAAAAAACACCGAGATGTTGAGTGGGGAACAACAACAGAAAGCGCTGCAGTACACTACCAGCTGATATCTCAAGTGATAGTGAGTGATGAATTCACATGGCTGAGGCCGTGTCACAAACGAACGATCTATTAAAAGGCATCGCTCTAATATTCGAATTTTTGGCAGCATGACAGCCCTGCTAAATAAAGGTGCCCCCTTGTGATCCAAGTTCTTTGCGATCATTTACTTGAAAAGCCCTATTTATATTCTGATGAGATTGATGGTGATAAATACAACGAAGACAACAGCTCTTTGTGGGACCAAATAATCAAAGCAAGGAATCTGCCAGTTCTTAGGATATATAAAAGCAGAGATCAAGCCCTCCGATACCTTCATCCAACGGGCCAAAAAGGGATTTAAAGGAGGAATGGAGGCAAGTGTGGCAGTCATAATAACCTGAGCGCGAACGGTATTTCGGCGATTTAAACGAAAGCACCCTCTGCACGAGTCCGTTGTAACTCAACCCCGGGAAAGGAGCCTCGGGCTTTGGCGAGTACAATTCATTTGATTGCATCTCCAGTGTGAGAGCACCATACATGATTGACCTGCATTCAAAGCTGCACCAATTTCCGTTGTATAGCAAGGTCTGGTGTTCCTTATGAAGAAGGAGAATTAATTTTTGGATAGCATTCTCCCTCCCGTAATTTACTGCATCTAAAGTTATGTTAGATCCGCCGACACTGGAGTTCATCCTTACTTACCGAGAATGTTTTCGGGGATTGGAAGCGCTAGGCTACTAATCCGACATGGACTCTGCGACATAGCTATTGAGGTCACTTCGTTGAACTGGCTTGGCAGTTGGAACACCCAGGAAATCCATAACCACAAGTTTAAATCCCGAGAATAGTTCGCCGGAATTGCTGATAACTTTCCAATCCATACATCCAGGAAGTGCCCCATCGCCTCCTTGCATTTATAATAGTCTGCTATTATAGCGACTTTAGCAAGCATCTCGAGAGATAACTTCCGAGGTACATCATTGGGCTGACAATGTAAAACTCGAAGCAAGATTAAGAATGCTTCGATATCCCAGCCCGTTGTAAGAATTTCAACGGAGCCCTTTTGCAATAAAGTCACACTCTCCTTCCAATTCCCCAATAGTGTTTTCTTAAAAACGGGAGAGGCAAGGGTCAAATGCTTCGCCGATACTTGGATCCGGTAGCCCCTCTCGGACAAGGCTTCGTCACTATCATACTGCTCCGTACCGTCTTGATTGTAATCGCAGTTCTCGTCAACAGGTCCGTGATAAGTGCCTCTATGTTCTGAATCTGAGCGCCCACCATCAAATTCAGCTGCGTTAGGCTCTTCGGCAGGCTCTTCGGCAGGCTCTTCGGCGGCTTCTTCAACAGGTGTTTCGGCAGGCACTTCAATGTTCTCTTCTATACACGGCTTGCTGGATTCAAATAGAACATGGTCACGAGTATAGTGGGAGGACCTTTTCTTCTTCTTCTTGAGATTCCTTTTCTTCTCCTTATGTGGACTCGAGCCTCGTGGGACGTCGGCCTCCCGTCTGTGGCTCTCGCAGTGAATCCTTGGTTCAGAATGGTCCTCAGAGAGCTCATTGGGAATCATTTCTTCGTTCCACACCGCAAAAGGAGGACTAGGATCGCTCAAAACTATGATAACTTCGCCATCCGGATCGAGGATATGAGTTGGCTGATCCATGATGTTCGACCTTAAACTCGTCACGCAGGTGGTTAGTACACAATCCAAAAGCTCCAAGAACGAGGAAGGAACTGAAAACATTATAAAGATAGAAGAATTCATAGTACGGATATTTGAAATGTCAAGGTTCGGACCTAGAGCTTGTTGGTTCTGAAATATGTGTGCAAAGTCGTGGCCATTGCTGATTGGAACTGGATCCATGTGGACATTGTCGCCGGGCATGCTCATTGTGTGGCGCCGTTCCACACACAACACATTCAGAGCGGACCCAAATAGCCAGTTACGTTGATACAGAAAATGTGTCCGGAGACAACTGGCTCAATTACATCCACAAAAGTCGACATTGCATTAATGGTTGCTCATTACGTACTAGAGCATCCTTTGAACAGCCAGCTCTATTGTTAATAGCAAAAGGTCCCAAGATCCTTCTAAATGGCGAGAATGTAGGCAGCAGCATGATTCTGCATTTCCGTTTCTGCTCAGTTGCATGAAAGCTGCCTCCCCTGCACCTTGCCTTGCAAATTCACCTTTGGCGTCAACGTGGATGGCTATATTTGCAAGGATCATGAGTGATCTGTTACATTGGTGCTTTGTATAGGGGTCGAGCTTACCTCCGCTTTATAGATCCTGGATTGTAGAAGTAAAAAGGAGAAGGAAAAGAATAAAAATAAATTAAAACCCAAATTAAATTAAAATGATCCCTAATATGGAGTGAATGGCTCGGTGTATTCTTCTTCCATGCCGAGCGAGGGTAACAACCACGGTCCATACACCTCGCTGGCGGCTTTATATGAACCAGCACAACAGTCGCTATGGGTTCCTTGTCACCAACCAAGAACTAGTCGCAATCCGGAAGCTGGACGAAAACGGAAATGTTGAGCTCGCTCAACCAATCCTTTGGACCACAGGAGGAACTGCCACCCAACCGCGATTGACTGTTATACTTGCTTTGTGGTACATTGGTATACTTGAATCGCATGATCAGGGAATCAACAACTGGCAGATGTGAGCCATCCCTCGTGTACTCACGAAGCCAGAGTGTCGGCTACTTTTGTTTCTTTAGGTCCATACGTCTTCTTTGTCCAGCATGACTTCCTATGTATGTAGTATGGTATCAATTCTGAGAGAGAAATTGAAAAGAGTTCTATTTTGTTCCTCCATCCACGGATTGGCGAAAACAGGCAAATTCCCGGTCCCTGTTACAAAACCACGATCGTACGAATCTAGTGCTGTAGACAAGCATTGCTACCTAATAACTTTTTATATAGTCGGTGAAATATCGACGACATGATCCACAAGTCACTGGGTCAGGAGAGAGACACTTTGGGCAGAACCGGTGTCCGCACAGGAGGGCTTTCCATTCTGGAGGGATGGTATAGCATATTGGACATTGACATTGATGCTTCAGCTCGCCGACCTCAGCCCTGTCTTCCTACGTAGATATTCGAATTTATGCGACCGGCATCCGCGAAATGGAGAATCATTAGACGTTTATCCAACGCAAAAATGAGACGAGAACAAGTTGAATCAATACAAGAACAAGTTGTTGCTAAAATGTTAACCGCGCCTTCTTGGAGCGGTTCCTCAAAGGTGGTCTCCCACGCCGCTTAAGGGATCCGTGACTCTCTACCTTCCCCGATTTGGCGTGGAACTCATGGACCAACTCCTCACATCCAGGGATCAGATCATGTTCAGGCTGCCAAGAAGGGTCGTAGCCTCTCCATTTCACCAAGTACCACCGCATCCCTTGGTCATCATCCCCGGCCAAGATCTCATCAACCAACCACTCCTCTGTTGTCACTCCGCCATCGTCAATCAACATTGGCGGCGGTGGGGTCCGACCCTCAGAGCCGGACTCGTCATCACTCCCGACACTGGGTGCCAAGCTGCATGTACTTGGCGCGGTTTTGGAAATTGGGATCCGATCATCGTCGCTCAGATCCCGGACACCATCATCAATGGCGATGGATGTGTCTAACATTCGTAAGAACCCAAACGAGAATGAAGTGGATGGCAGGAACTAAGGAAATCGAAGGAGTAAGGGACATACCTTTGCTGTCTCTAGTACTCGGGGCTCGGGGTTTAGACCCCACATCACCTCTTCTGCAATCCTGCCCTGGCATATCTTTGCTTGAGTTGATATTGATCACACCGCTGTCGCTGTCGTTGCAGGAGCCACTGCGCTGTGAGCCTAAACTGGTGTTGCTCTCCTCATCATCTTCATAGTCGGGGGATCGTTTATTCGTAGCGATGGACATCGATGTATCCGGTAGGTCGGAATCATTGATATAGAAGAGACGACGCAGCGAATCCCAATCATTGTCGCCCGCATCGATACGCAAATCTAGGTGCTGGTTCTGAATGTCTGTTGCCTCCATGTTCGAGCTGGTTACTTGATTTTCAAGTATCTTAGGAGGCTCCTTGTTGACCGGTTTCTTGTTCTTATCGACTCGCTTTCCGATCGCAGGTTGCTGGGCATGGGAAACCGGCGTCCGCTGAAATTTTGTGCCTGGTGCCGTGGCGTTTGGATTGAAATGAAGGAACGACATGGGGCGGCGATTTAGTCGGCGATACGGAATAGTGAAATGGCGTAGGCAGTGCTTTTGGAAGGATTGTAGGAGGCTCGAGTCGTTTGGGAGGGAAGAGAAATCCAGCTTTCCAGACCTTCAGGGTGGGGAAGACGCACGCTGAAATAGCTCTCCAACCTTTGGAACCGAAGTCTCAGCGAGGCCTCACCAGCTGACTTACCCTAGATAGGAAATGCCAGAGGCGCAGGAATTTTGGCACAGATGGCTAAATTAACAACCACTCGTTCGTTGGACTTCGTATTCAAATGTGACACCCAGAGAGCCCCGGTGCATTGCCAGCGAAGCGAGATCGATAGCCCTGCTTTAACCCCCGGCTAACACGGCCCAGCTGAAACCGTCGGTTGGCACAATACAAATATCCAACTTACGGCATCAATGGTTGAGCTGGTGGCGAGCTGAATGACGGGCGCAGTATGAGCACCTGCAGGGAATGGAAGACGGACCAAGGATAGCGATTTTGACCGAGAGGGCAGCTACGCAGCAGTGTAGATATCATCATGGAGCGGGCGAAAATTTACGCGGGATCTGGCTATTGCTCGCAGCCTTTCAACTCCCCCACCACCTTGAACGAGCCCAATATCCCGCATCCCAGAAGCTGACCAAATCCCGGTAAAATAAGGGGGAAATTGTGCGTCGCCCATCGTCTTGCGACACCAGCCGCCATATTCCGCAGCGAGTGCAGGCGAATCGCAGCCTCTCTCGCTTCTTATTTCCCAGACCGTAGCATCAACCGACGGCGTTCTTGACCTGGTTGTCATGTGTTCTCCGGCGCTCCAACGCACTTCCCTGTCGCATAAGAAGGAATCTCCAGTAGTCGAACAAATCCCTCGATTCATCCAGCTGAGACATGCAGCGTATGCAGCGTAAGGGTGGGTGACTCCGACATCACATCGCAATTTCACACAATCCCCTCCCCCTCGCCTGATTTTAGCGCCAGGATACCAGGGCTGGATCCCAATCTCCGGTGGAGGCCTTCATTGTCGTTGATTCGGCGTCGTACTACTGGCCAGGAGGGAACTGTAGCGTGACCAAAAATTCACCCTCGCCGGAGTGATGTCCACGTCACCCCATCGGCCACGCCGCGAGGGTTGGATATGCAGCGAAATTTCTTTCCTTCGCCGTGACACGCCACCATGCCCCTGCCACTGGAGAAAGGGAGAAACCCCCGCTGGGCAGGGCGCAAAGCCGGGCCTCGCATGTCAAGGCAACAGAGAGAGAGCCCGACAGGACCTGCAGGGCGGAAGTGACAAACGCGCGTGACAAACGCGCCTTCCACTACCACGGAGTACGCGGCCAGATATCGAGATTGAACGGCCTGATGACAGAGAGGCCGTAGAAAGAGTAAAGGCAGAGGAATGTAAAGAGCGTAGCATGGGACCTGGAGAGGAAGGGTGGGAAATTCTACGGAAGGTGGGTGTAGTGTGTAGAGAGCACAGGGTGAGAGGGGGAACAAAGGGAAGATTCCGGGGCCCGGACGCACGTTGATGACCTAGGTGGGCTCGAGTGGGAGCCAGGGTGAGCGTGGGTGAGCGTCGGCGAGCGTGGTTGAAGGAGGGCGAGGGTAGAACTACAGCAGAGCGAGGTCGTTAGAACGGCAAGAGGTGCGGGTTTATATAGACGTTGCGGTTTAGCTGGGGTCGGCGGCGCGGACCGCAAGCGCAAAAGGGACCGCCGGTTTCCGCATCGGGAAGGGCCGTTTCCCGCCCGGGAGGCCCTCAAAGGTGGATAACATATTTTATTTTAAAACTTTTATTCTGTTTTTTTAATTGATTTCATTATTTTATTAAAAAAATTTATATTTTTTATTAATTAAGTCTTTTCTTGAGCAGGTTTCAGACTTCAGTAGTGACAGAAACTCTTTTTATTATATGAGAAATAATTTCAAAATATCAATTTTAAAAACCTTTTTCATTGTTTATATATACAATTTTGGAAGAATCTTTTCTTGAAGATTTTTCAAATTCAATATTCTTTACAATGATGAAGTAATATAACAGATGTTTTATCTAATTATATAACTTTTTTTCAATCTTTTAAAACTCAATTTTGATGATTTAAATATCACTGAAATCATTCATATTTTATTTTATTGATCAAGTCAGGTTTTTGAATAGATTTGATCTTTTTCATACTTGCTTTTCACAAGATTTTTTATACAGTGTTGAGTGTAATATTAAAACTCTTTTTACTGAGTTCAAGAGTAATATTAGCATAGAATTTCTCTCATTCATATCAATTTCAACACATCTTCATTAATACTTACTTTTAAATAAAAAAGGTCTGTTTTGTAAATCTGCCACTGCAGAGGGCATCTTGAAGAAATTCATTATAAATAATAAAATAAAAAAGATCAGAGTTGAAGCTATATTTAAAAGCTCTGATATATATACAATTAATTTGATGAGCAGAGAGATTTGTAATATTTATGATTTCAGTGATAGTTTTTGCAATATAAAATGATTTGAGAGCCACCATGAGTGTTTAAATGATGATATCAATATTGAAAGCCATGATTGAAAGCAGTATTGATGATGAAAAGATAATAAACTGAGACAATAGAAACTAAGTGAGAGCTTCTTATATTTTAAATGAGAGGTAGTTTTATTACATTTTAATACTGTGGTGGTGCTCACTATCTAATATAGTGGTTTTTTAATTATCTTGGTGAGACAAAATTTTTTGCAGCGGCTTCTGTAGAATCCTCGGAAGAACCCACCTTTTGGAGTTTTCTGCAGGATTACTCCCCCAGCGGGCCACACTCGGTGCTTTTTGATAACCCCAGAGCTGCTGTGCCCGGTGATTCTCATGAGATTCCATTCTGATATAATTTAAAATACAAAGTAAATAATAAATTTAATACATCTTACGCCGTGGGGCCAACTCCTTAGGGCCTTAGTAGGTCCAAATTTTTCCATGGATGGCAACAAAAGGTTTTAAATCGTCCCTTGGCCCCTGTTGGGATTGG